ATCAATGGGCAAATGTAAAAATACTGGAAGCAGCAGCCCTATCGCATGTTTACGTACCGCACGGCTGTAACATTTATTTCTAAGATACGGCCGAGTTACAATATACCGTGACGTAAGCGCTTCGGTTGGTAGGTACTCAAATAATATTATGTTTGCGGCGAAATACAAAACGCGGCGACCAGCGACGCGGCTACCCCGTATGAACGCATACAGCGTAATGCCGCCCGCACTCTGCGCACGCCCCTTTATCATAGAAGTCACACAATTTTCGGAATTATTTCAATTAAAAGAGAAAAAACGAACTTAAAAATTTAAATAAAACGTGGAGAATATAGATTTTTTCATTATCTATCCATTAGTGTTATCCTCAAATGATTAGAGCGTTGCGTTTAGCAACAGATGCATGTAATCAAGAATTTTAGTCATTTTTTAAAAGTTGATTTTAAATGTATTTATAGCACATAAAAATAAATTAGAACGTGGAATGCGATGATAAGATATCGAACATTAATAATGTACTTTTAGATGTAGTTTATTTTTCATAACTAATGAGATAATAGAGTCTGAAAAACGCACTTTTGCCAGGTTTTGGTCAGGGTAGCGTCTTAATAACAAAAGACTGTTAGAGGACAACGACGCGAATTGTGAAATAATTAAACATTTAAATAACTTCTTTTTTTTTAAACTACATCGTATAATTCTTTCCTCTTTAGGTAATAACCTCTCATAATCCAGTGCTGAATATAAGCTTTTTCATAAGTTCACTACTGCGTGATTTATAATATAATGATAACTTGAGATATACGATATCCGACCGAGACATTCACTCAGAGAATCTTTAAAGAAATTAATACGAGTATCGTAACTGTTGCTTCACAGTTCACACTGGAAAATATTATTAATGTAAGAAGCTATTCTAATATTTTGGGCGATGATAACTCGATCGTAACTTTAATACGCGTATTCTAAATTTTGCTGCTAGAGAAATGAGGGTCTCAATTTTAGGTAGATATATACTTATAACAAGATTCTCTATAATAACTGTAATATTACTGAGTTTCCTTTGCTAATATTGCTTTGTAAATAAATTCGAAGCAACATGTAAGAATAATTCTAATGAAAATGAGGTTATTAAAAAAATAAAAATTCGCCGTTTAGTGGCGGTGAAGAATATCTACTACCCCACATCATCTTGTGGGTGTCGTAAGAGGCGACAAAGGGAAACTTAAACAGGTGATAGGCGGCAGTGTCTCCCTGGCAACAGCTGAATGAAAACTGCAGTTTCCAACCCAAAACTTATTTACTTATTTTCTTAATTTGTGCATATATATTTTATGAGTGAAATTTTAATTGTTAGTAGAAAAGAGTTGTTTTTGTGGGTTTCTTGCCGTTTCTAGTCTCCCGTAGTTAGTACTTATTGAAACAAAGGCGTAGCGTCTTTGACTTTCCAAAAAAAGACATAAAAAAGCTTATTCCGAATAAATTTCTTGACTTTTCTTCAATAGAGTTTTGCCAAATGAAGTGAATCGTTTAAAAACATATAGTAAGACTAATTTTATCCCAACTTATAATTTGACCATATAAATATACTTAATATGAACACAAATTAAAAAAAATCTGTGAAAGTTCATTACGTTTAAATATTCTTAACTTTTAAATAATCGTCTAATTTATAATAATCATTTTTCATTAGAATAATACAAACATGTGTCTTGAATTTATCCAAAGACTATCATTAATATTACATTTAGTTAAATATTTGTTTTTTTATAAATAGTTAAAACCCTACCCAAAAAGGCTGCTAGTAATATAGTTTTAATATAGTCACTTTTTTATAACTCAAAAATATAGCCTTGTTTGCATTGATAACTCTGTGATATGATAGCTCTTCATTAGTCAATTAAAATGTTAAAGGGCCAAAAGGGCTCTGCTTCGTCGACGCCATTACGTCATACTAAAATCGACTAAAATATTTACTATATTGTCAACTGTCAAAGTGTAGTTAGTCTTATTGAAGTAGATTTTTCGAAGTGTTCAGTGTACGACTCTGTGTTTATAAATATCTTACGCGCTTGCCAAATAAAAAGTAAATGCGATTGTCGATGTGTTATACCATATTGACTTTTATTAGCTCCCTGCGAAGCGCTGGTCATAAGTTACAAATATAGCCAGCAACCCGAGTTCGATCCCTGCCGGCGCTAATAAAATTTTTGAGTCCAATTTTAATTAAGGATTGCAAGTAAAATAAAAATGTTTCAAATACATGTGAGTGAGGTCCATCAACTCCCAATAGAGAGTTCGGCAATCTAACTACTCCATAATGCTCTCAGAAATAAGAAGCTTGTTCCCAACCGTGGGACGTATATATATAAATATATATATATATATATATTTATATATATATATATATATATATATATATATATAGAATGTACTTTTAACTTTATCCCACCGCTATTATTTGGTATTATTAATACAACGTTATTCAATATAAATAATGACATTTAACAGTACTTGGAAGAGAGAAACTCAAATTATCTCTTCGTATTTTATTTTTAGAGATGTCGTTGAAATTAACAAAAAACTTCTCATAAATTTATTTATAAGATTATCTCTTATTAGTCTTACAGATTTTATTTCGTTATAACCATTCGATCGTTGAGTATGGCGAAAGTGATAATTTGGACGGTCGGATCCGATCAAGGCGATTTTCCGTTAAATTCCCAAGCGGTCGGATCCAACCGCACTCACCCACAGCAATATAATCCATAATAACTTATATTTAAAGACTACTTTTCTATGAACAAGCGAAACGCGCTAACGTTGTCAACGTTTTTAGCTGGGAATTGAGAGGTTGCTCGCTAGTAGAACAATGATTTCAAAATACACCTTACCAAACAAGATGAATATTTTATCATTTTATCAGTGATATTTTGATTAATTATTCGGCTCTCTGATTGAATTTCTAATAACGATTTCATTTTTTTCATGCTTTTTTTGACTCATGAAAGCCAATCTTTTGTGACAACATTATTAAAAAGTGAACTTATTTGAAATCCCCGACGTTTCGAGTTATTTGGAGACACATGGTCACGAAAAGGACTGAAACATTTGACATCCTAATGACATAGTTATCTATAATTAAAAATAAGTGAAATTAGGTGGTTGTCAATACGACTTCATCGGAATGCTCAGATACTTCATCTTCTCTACAACGTTGTCTTTAATCCTTCTAAGCTCAAAAATCGTTTTGCTTTTGTTCGTGATTCTCATTTACGTAACCTGAGATCAGCAGAGAGATTGAAATTGAATATGCCACTAGTCACTAGTAAATTAATGAACAGGTCTTTTATTGTAGAGGCCGTTCGTTTATGGAATGACCTCCCATTGGCATTAAAACGCGCACCATCCCTACCGGTATTTAAAAAACTACTTAAGAATTATTGCTTTGCACTTTAAATTGTAGCTTCGCTTCCACACTAACCATTAAATATAATATAATGAACCACTGAGAAAAGCACTTTGCCCCCTCGTCCTTAGGGGTGTCTTCGACGGCATTTTGAAACGCAGCCACTGCTTCCTCGGCACCAATAAAACGTTTTTCTCGAAGTTTTTCTTTCGTAATGATTTCTTATATTTACGCGAACACTATACATTGATCAAAACTACTTTCACGGATTTTATCGCATTTAATTTTAACTTATGTTTAATTCCCGACGTTTCGGGTGCTTTCCTTTGCCCATGGTCACGGGGAACTGAGGTGACTGATGTCCTGATGTCAATGTTAACCCGCAGCTTTTTAATTATTGTTTATAGTCCGATCTATGCAGAAGGAACTTACTCTGTCTTAAAGTCTTGCAGTGGTATGCTTGGGTTAGGTTTATTAATTACAGGGTCCCAAGCAGGCTGTAGCACCCAGCCTCCTTCTGTATTGAAATTAGGATGTTTTTTAATTTCAATAGCCTCACGTATCATCCTTGGTAGAAATCGATGTTCTTTCGCGAGGATTTGTGGTATATCAAATCTGATGTAATGTTTGGGGCCACTCAAAATATGATCACGCATTTTTAGAACATCTTAACTCCATTAAGTCTAAAATTCAATTTAATATGGAGTTAGAGTCGAATAATTCTTTAGCTTTCCTAGGTGTGTTAGTCATCCGAAATCCTAACAACACCGTAGGTCACATAATGTATAGGAAAAAGACCCATCCAAACCGATACTTAAACGGAGAAGCTCACCACCAATCCTTCACAGTTAGCTACCGTGGGCAAATCTTTGTTACAGAGAGCACGAGGGATCTGTGAATTGTCAGCAAACACCTAGCCACCGAGCTTCAGCACGTCAAGCAGGTTCTGCAAGACAATAAGCTTCAGGTCCCGCGCCTACGTCACAGTGACCGAGTGAAGCCGGCCACAGTCGAGCGTGTGCCTGCTGTACTGCCATATGTCAGAGGTGTCACAGACAAAATTAGCTACATCTTGAAGCGAGCTTCTATTAGAACATTCTACAAGCCGCCGAAGAAGATTAGTCAGTTTTTAACATCTGTCAAGTGTCATATTCCTCTACAGGATGCAGAAGTGTACAAGCTTGATTGTGAATGTGGTATCTTATACATAGGGCAAACAAAAAGATCTATTAAACCCCACGTAAAGGGACATATAGCTGACGTGAGGCATCAACGTTCCGGGAAGTCTGCAGTTTGTGATCATATCTTAGGCGGACCCAACCATTACAGTTTTCCTCCTTCACGGCTGAACAGGTGATAAATAAGCATTAAAATCGCTGTTTATAATTTCGGTATAGCTGGTCGGAATCGAACTCTACTTTGTAATACTACTAAACGAATAAAACTTATTTTACGGTTTTTTCGCGTTTAATTTGACTTAAATAAAAACCGTAACGTTAGTTTCACCTCAATTCAACCTAATATTATTTATTTAGCAAACTTTCCCATAGAAATTCAGTTGTTAATAATAATAATAATAATTTTATGGATGATGGAATATGCAAAATCGCGCAAAGGGCCGCTGCCTGGAGGTCGCCAGGGCGCGTCTGGAGCTAGCGCTGGACGCGACAGCATGCGAACCGCCAGCCGAGCGAAAGGTGCTGCACGACCACCCATCAGCCCCTCGCATCCATCATCCCCACCAGCTGGCTTGGTGTCGGCAGGGTCTTCGCGGGCCCAGCAATCGGCACCCGCCACTAGTGGAGTACGCCGCATGCGATGGACAACCGAAATGAATACTAACGCATTGCGGGCGTATTATAGGGTGAAAGGGGGAGAAGTTGGAGGTTTGGCGTATCGGGCTAGGATGCATCGTCTTTTAGCTGAGCTGGAGCCATCTTTAACCGTCTCAGAGCAAAACCTGGCAGACCGGGTTCGGTATATCTTGCGCTCAAATATATTTGATATCGCCGAACTCGAACGACTACGACGTGAGGCTGTTCCCTCATCGGATGAAAGTGCCCAGGAACTGGAATTAGAGCATATGAGGAGTACATTGGAAGAGGCGATTGTGGAAACGCGCAGTACGCCCCTCGAAAATCGACCGCGACTTCCCCGCATAGCCCTAAGCAAGCGGAATCGGGCTGTCGTGAGGGCTCTGAACCCAATGCCGGTGACCTATTTGGAAGCCGGCCGGGACCTTTGCGAGACGGACTCAATTATTTTTGGCGCCGCATTGGCAGTGTGCCGTATTATAGGCGCCAAACTTTCCACGGCTGGACGCGCTACTTTACAAAGTAGCGCTATCCCAGCCTGGAGAATAAGAATTGAAGAACGTATCGCAAAGGCTAGGGCCCTTATCGCCAGACTGATATGCTTCAGGTCAGGCAACAACAGGCCAAGGATTGTGCGCACCGTCAGGATGGCATTTGCAGGGACAAATGTTAGTTTATCCCAGCCGGATATAATGCAAAAACTGACGGAGCGCATAGACGACCTGAAGCAGAGAATCGCTGCTTGGGAAAAGCGGATTCGATGATATACCGAGAGGTCGAGACGGTTTAACCAGAATCGTCTCTTCCAGAGTGATCAGAAGAGGCTCTATAAATCGTTGGAGCGACCAATGGTAAGTGGAACGGGCCCAGCACCGAATCAGGCCGACACTATAGTATTCTGGCGCAGCCTGTGGTCAGAGCCCGTAAACCACAGCGAGGGCCCTTGGACGGAAGTTGTGGCGAGTCAGTGTGCGAGTATAACGCCCATGGACCCCGTCATTATAACGCCGGATGACGTAGCTGAGGCGGTCCGTAGGGCCCCGAACTGGAAAAGTCCGGGACTCGACGGGCTGCATTTCTACTGGCTGAAGGGGTTTGTGGTGTGTCACGCTGTGCTCGCCCGACAGTTCCAAGAGATTCTCAACCAGAAGTCGCTCCCGAGCCTCTTCACTACTGGGATCACGCATTTGGTTCCTAAAGACCAGGTTACCACAGACCCGAGCAAATACCGCCCCATCACGTGTCTGCCGACCATATACAAGACACTAACATCCATTTTGAGCGCGAGAATCACTCGTCACCTGGAGTCAAATCAGGTGATGTCGCGCACTCAAAATGGATGTCGGGGCGGCGGTTGTGGAACCAAGGAACCACTCCTCATTGACGCGGTCATTGGCAAAGTGGTGAAACGCAACCGTCGGAACTTCTCCGCCGCCTGGATAGACTACAGAAAGGCATTTGACTCGGTGCCCCATACATGGCTAAAGAGGGTCCTCGAGCTGTACAAGATTGACTGTACAGTTCGAGACTTCCTCGAGCAGTGTATGGGGCAGTGGAGTACGATCCTTTGTTATCTGGGCGAGCGGATGATGGCTGCGGAGAACCACATAAGGATAAGAAGGGGTATCTTCCAGGGCGATTGTCTGAGTCCAATCTGGTTCTGCCTCTCCTTGAACCCTCTCAGTACTTTACTGGAGGGCTCCGGGAGGGGATTTCAGCTTCGGAAAGGAGGTACAAAAGTGACCCACCTTTTCTATATCTATGACCTCAAATTATTCGCCTCCAGTCTCTCCCGTCTTATGGAATTGCTAAACATCACTTGTGAATTTAGCAATTCTATTGGAATGGAGCTGGGGACGGATAAGTGTGCGGTCCTCCATGTTGAAAGGGGAAGGGTTGCTAACTCTTAGGGCATAGACTTATCTATGCCCGTCAACTTAAGGACCCTTTCCGAGGCTGAAACATACCGATACCTGGGTATGTCACAGAACATCGGTATCGATGAGGCTGGTATGAAACAGTCAGTTTGCGACGCGTTTTATGCACGCTTGACCAAAGTGCTTAACAGCCTTTTGTCCAGTGTGAATAAGGCACACGCATATAACGGCTGGGTCATGCCTGTCCTCATGTATACCTTTGGCATACTCAGGTGGACTCAGACCGAACTTAACGCCCTGGATAGAAAAGTCCGCACTACCATGATGTCCCATAAGATGCATCATCCGAGATTGTCGGTAGTGAGGCTGTACTTTCCGCGAAAGCATGGTGGGCGTGGCTTTCTGAGCGCGCTCACCATGCATAATCGTGAAGTGTGCAGCTTCCGTAATTACTTCCTGGCGAGATCGGATGATCGATTCTATAATGACGTCATTTCTAGTGATAACGATCTTATCCCTCTATCCTAAGCCAACGAGCAATGGCAAAACCCAGCAGTGCATAGCATTTCCGACCGGGAGACCGTATGGAAGGAGAAGGAGCTCCACGAGAGGTACTACAGGGCTCTACATGAGCCCTTCGTGGATACAGTCGCCTCCCTCAACTGGCTACGTTTCGGTGACCTCTTCGGGGAAACCGAGAATTTTGTCTGTGCAATACAGGATCAGGTTATTAAGACCAACAACTATTGGAGATACATCCTAAAGGATGGCACCGTCGACGTCTGTCGAGCTTGTCGCCATCCCGGTGAGTCACTTAGGCATGTCATCTCCGGTTGTTCGGCGCTTTCTAACTCTGAGTACTTGCACAGGCACAACCTAGTAGCCAGGATTCTACACCAGGAGCTCGCTCTGAAATACGGTCTCGTGGATCGGAAATTGCCGTATTACAAGTACTTACCGGAAGCCGTGCTCGAAAATGACCGCGCTAGGCTCTACTGGGACCGGGCCATCATCACAGACAGGACTATTCTTGCGAATAAGCCTGATATTGTGCTGATGGACCGGGCACTGTCAAGGATATTTTTGGTCGACATTACCATTCCGTATGACGAGAACCTCGTGAAAGCCGAAACAGATAAGCGAACAAAATATCTGGACCTGGCTCACGAGGTGACCGATATGTGGGGTGGTCTGCCGGCCGAAATTATTCCTGTAGTCGTCTCTGCGAATGGGCTAATCCCAGTCAGCCTCTCGGGTCATCTGAGGCGACTGGGACTCGACCATGACGGACAGCACCGGTCTCAAATGCAGAAGGCGGTGCTCCTCGATACCGCCCGCATCGTCCGCCGGTTTCTTTCCCTTTCCTCCTAACCCTCGGCCGTTTGGTCTCCCCTGCCGAGGGCTTCCATCTGGTTGGGCTTTTATTTATTTATGTATTTTTGTATTTATTTTATTTTATTGATATTTATGTATATTTATCGTTTCATTTTAATTTATAATTGTATATTTATATAACCCAGCCAGATGAGAAAACTATGTAGATACCCCAAATAATAATAATAATAATAATAACCCCCCCGGGGACCACCTTGACGTGGTGGGGGGCTTAAGGGGAGGCACGAACCTAACAGCGGTCACTACGAACTTGACCATACCCTGTATAATTACCGATACAGGAGGTACATTTTATTAACCACTAACATCTTTGCTAACCCTCCCCAACTAACGGTCCCACACCCAAACCCAAATGGAGAATAATTATGGTATTAACAAGAAGTAAACGGCCCCAAGTGCTCGGCGGACCCAGTAGCAGCACTGGTTATGACGGAAGCCAGCCTGAGACTGGGCCTAGGGGTGCGAAGAATCCCCGAGTGACGAAAGCAACCCGTCGAACGACCCAAGCGACACATACGGACTCCGACATGCTAAGCGATATAATCTCATCGACACCCTCACCTTTTCATTCATTTGAGTCATCTATTTCATCTCCACGTTCATACCAGACTTCAAGGAGATCAGACTCTGTATCACCCATGTCTGAGGACGTTGTGCAGGAGGCTGTAGCCACTGAACCTGCACCCGCCCCAGACAGAAATCGCGCGCGCAAAAGATGGACAGAAGAAATGAATAAATTCATCTGGCGCACGTACCTTATAGCCACTAAATTAAATACTAACAAAATATACCTCGATCATCTACATAAAGAATTCACTAATAAATATCCGCAGATGCAGGCATCGAGACAAAGGTTGGGAGATCAATGCAGAGCTATATTTAGAAATAAATTACTTCCCCAAAAAACATTAGATCATATAAGGAACGAAGTCGCAATATACTTACAACAAACACACAGTAATACCAATCATATACAAACCGACTCGATCACGCAATCACACATGCAACCACATTTTAGCAATCAGCAAGGATTGACACAAAGAAGACGATGGACAGCTGACCAAAACGAATCTATTGTGAGAAATTACTATAAAATCACCATACTTGGAGAAAATAAATCAGCTTACCGTAGACCCCTCCATCAAGCAGTCATAGAAGAACACCCTGAGTTAACAGGTGTAAGTGAACAACGAATATCAGATCAGCTCAGAGTAATATTGAACAATAAAATGATTAATGACCAAAGACTTCAAAAGATACGCGAAAATATAGCAAGCAACCGGAATTCCCGACGAGACAATATGGAAAATAATTCATCACATTCATCACCCGAAACAGAAAACTCACAAGAAGTCGACGTTCATCCATTCGTTATAGAAAGTAACACCCCCGTGCATACACTTAACTTAACCTTACAACCTCAACCTGACGAATCAGTGATATCCACTCAAGCCTCTGAACCTCAAAAAAAACAAGCAATAGAAAATAATGACGCGAAAAAAATCCAGGAACTGTTTAGAATAGCAATAGACAAATTTCGGAATACCAACCCAACTAAACGACCTTATATACCAAAACAAAAAACTTCTAAAAGGCTGGCACAAATTGTAGATTTTATAAACACTAAAATATTACCAAATCACATATCGAGAGAGCAGGATTTTGAGACCACTCAGACCATAATTTACTGCGTGGCGTACACAGTAGCTATAATTAACGGAACCAAAATCAGAGACATAAACATAATACCTACCCAAAGTCGAAATAAAGAACCTGCTTGGCAGAAAAGGTTAAAAAGAAAGATATTGGATTTCAGAAGAGACATTGGAAGGCTAACAGAATATACCAAAGGCAATAGAAGCAATAGACTCACCACTTCAGTGGAAGCAATAAAAAATAAATACCGAATACATTCCCAGCACGAAGAACCCAATTTAAGCGATGAACAATTCCTTGACACACTTAAACAAAAACTGAATGCGGCATCCAGCAGATTAAAAAGGTACCTTAATTGCACACTTAGGAAGTCACAAAATAGCCAGTTTATCAATAATGAAAAACAATTTTATAGGAGCCTGACTTCAGAAACACAACACGACACAAATAGAAATAGGCAAGATGCACCATTACCACCCGCCAGTGAATTACATAGCTTCTGGTCTGGTATTTGGTCTATACCGGTTCACCACAACACTGAGGCAGAATGGCTGAAATCAGATTCCGAAGTAACTGATTCTATCACACCAATGGCATTTGAACAAATACCTCTGGAAGTATTTGTGCATATATTAAAAAAAACCCATAGCTGGAAAGCACCCGGAAGTGACCGTATACATAACTACTGGTATAAGAAACTTTCAACAATTCACCCTCTACTTCATAACCATTTCAATGATTTTATACAAAAGCCAGACATAATGCCCCGATACATTACACAAGGCCTCACATACATGATTCCGAAAGACGCAGATCATCAAAATCCTGCCAAATTC